ACATTAGCATACATACATGTCAACGGGTAGCTTAGTCAAAGTCAACGTTGCATTGTGACCATTACTTGGCCATGTTGTGAGAATAAAATGACAAAACAATCGCGACCTAGACACCATCACGTCGTGACACATCCTATGTGACATTGTAATTTTTGGTCAGAAGAACAAAATCTTCATTAAGTGCTTAATCTCTTCAGAACAAGGCCCATAACCTAAGATCTAGATCCCCAAATAGCCTCATAATGGATAAAGTTCTAACTTTATCCATTAGGATGGCCCAAACAACAAATATATAGTTTCTAAATCTCAAAGGGATAAAGAATGCATCTTTCTTAGCTAAATCCATTAAGTCCAAGACTCTAACCTTCAGATCTGAATCAACATGATGTTTAGGTGGATAAAGTTTCCAACTTTATCCATAATAATGTCTCAATATTTCAAGATCAAAACTTTGAAACACCAAAATGGCCTAAATGACCAAAATAACTTGCATGGCTGAAAGGGAAGGCAAAAGTTCAAAACTTTACTAGTCCATTAGGTCCAAGAAAACATACTAAACCGATCAAAAGGTGTTGGAGTCCATATCTGAAACATAAAAATGTTATTGGGGCCTTGAAGAGTAATAAAGTTTCAAAATCTATTCCCAACTCTCACTAAAACATCATTAAAATGGACCAAACACCAGATACACTTAAATCCAAAGATGAAATGCAATAAATCTTGGAACTTTATAGCTTACAAAGGTCTAAAAGGTACATGAAAGTTGAGATCTTCAATTGTCAAGCTTAAAATATCAATCTTGCATGAAAAAATTGCTCCAAAACCACCAAAAACTCCTAAAATGGATAAGAGAGGAGATGCGAGGCTCAAATCTTGAAAATAGAGGCTAGGGTTTCTCCCAAGAGGTTCTAGATATGATGGAGACTAAGAAAATACCCTAAAACATGAATGCTTACCGTTAAATATTTTGAAAACCCTAAAATTTTCATGGGATTTGTGTTGCACAGTTCTCACGTTGTGTGAATATATTCCCACCTCGTGAGGAATCTCACGTCGTGAGAATTACTTCTCACCCCATGAGAATGGATTTTCACCAAATTTCCCTTCAACTTCAAACAATCATAACTTCTTTGTTTCAACTTCATTTTCGGTGTTCTTTATATGCACACAAATGTATAGATGATCCCCACAACCCTATCTAACTATGTTTGACTTAAAACACAAGGAACTAAAATCCTTAATTCATGGAAGAAGTCTGAAACATCACTTTTCCCATTTTACCCTTTGACAGCAAGACACAAACCAAGGCTTTGGTCACTTATCCAACAATATCATCATCAAATGAGGTCTAAATCCCATTCCCATGAAGCACAACACCTATACTTGATCCATTTATTTTAGAAAATCTCAAAATTAAAAACTTCATGAATCAGTATGTTACAATAAATCTGGTCCGCCCTTGGTCTTCACAACGAAGTGGCTCCCCACTTTTTTATTTGTACAACGTAAAGATAAACCGCACCTTGGCCTTCAATATAAAGCTAGTATTCCCGATTATATTGTCCTTCAGCATGAGGCAAGTCCGCCCTCAACTCCGCGCATAGTATATTATATATATATATATATATATATATATATATATATATATATATATATATATATATATATACATATGTATATATATATAGGATATAGATCCGGTAAGAAATTTTTTTTAGTAGGAAGGTAAGAAGTTTTTTTTCTACATATTTTTTTGACGAAAAAAAAAATGAATCACTAGATGATTCATTTGTAAGATGATTCACAAGAAAAAATTCTCAAAAAAACATCTATATGATTCACTTTTAAGTAAATTAAGAAAAAAATTCACTTTTATGACAATTTTAGTGAATAACAACAAAATCATTATATAAATGAATCATCGAGATGTTTTTTTGAGAATGTTTTCTTGTGAAACATCTTACAAATGAATCATCTAATGATTCATTTTGTTTGTTCGCGAAAAAAATATGTAGAAAAAAAACTTCTTACCTTCCTACCAAAAATTTCCTTCTTATTTGATCTTGACTCTCTCTCTCTCTCTCTCTATATATATATATATATATATATATGTGTGTGTGTGTGTGTATGTGTGTGTGTGTTTGTGTGAATATATATATATATATATATATATATATATATATATATATATAGATATAGTACAAGAAGCAATAATCCAATAATATCAACAACTAACAGAACTAGCCTAGTGGCATACTACAACGTAACTATATCCTAATATATAGAGGATATATACTGGAGTGCATAATATAGTGTGAAAATTACGTGGAACTAAACTATTGACAGATATATGGGTGATCTTACTGATGATCTAACTTATGGGTAACGCGTTGAATGAGTATCAACCTATAATACTTTAACTTATAAGTCCCTATGATAATCTGCTAATGGAAACTAGACTTTTCACTAATCCCATTGAATACCGAACCACGTAAATAATATGTCTTGTGTGCTTTTGGTTTAATCAACAATGAATGTACTTGGAGGATTGTTCTTTAATGAATTATAAAGACACAAATAATGGCAATGACAAGAACGAAGCATTATAAGTAATGCTCAGGAAAATCAAGATCATGGTTGTCTTTAGGTTAACATAGTAAGTAATTTCTTCCAGGATGTTCATGGTTGCATAAATTAACAAAACCATATTATTCAAAGAAGTACAAATGTAAAGGGAATTTAAAAGATTATTCAAAGCATGTGATTACCCGAATATAAAAAGGCATTTGCAAGAATAGGTTAGAGTTGAACCAAAATATTCTTCAAGAACACATTGAAAGTATTAAAAAATCAACTCAGAAGAGGAGGATAAGAGGAGTGACAACGAGAAAAAGAGGAGCAAGGAATCGATGGGAAAAGCCCAAATAAAGCACAGATCTTTATTTCCAAACATACTCTATGTGTGAATTTCCTCATAAAGTACGTTTTCTATTTATTGATTTGTAGTAATGTCAACAGGCCATGTTAATGGTGGTGGTGAACGACATATGTGGCGGAGGAGGGAGACGAAAGCGACAAGGGTGAGAGGAAAAACTAAATCAAACCATAAATCACCCATTCTAATATACTTGTTTCGAAAGGAGACGAAATATTTGTATATAAGAAGCAAATATAAAACAACAATAAAAAGACAACCAACATAATTGAAAAGATTGAATGTTGTTTCATTTTATTTCAGTTTACGATTACGACATACATTTTTGTATGTCGTAAACGATTACTAATACACAAACGATGACATAATATGTATGACTGACTATTTTGCCTATCATAAAATTTGTGTATGTTTTCGTATGTCATTAAATCTCTTTTAACTAGTAGTGTCCTAAGGCTAATTATCTCTTGCATTTGACTTTTCCAACTTTACCAATTACCACTATTTTTTTAGATTGTAGTTATTTGAGATAAATTATATTCATTTAACAAGTTAATGAGACAGTGAAACGATAATCTTGCTTTATGGCTGAACGTTCTACAAGCATATTGTTGTGGCAACCAAGAATCCATTCTTCCTAACAAAAACTTAGCTTTACAAAAATCATGTTTCGCTTTTGAACACTTATATGCCGATTTGACCTTTTACAAACCCTTCATTCTTTCTTCTATTTCTATTTTGTAGAATCATTTCAAAGTTGGTGTCACATAAGGGTATATTTGTGCACTCAAGGATTTATTGAGAAGAATATTGTGTAGCCATTACATGAAATCCACCTAGATGAACACATGTTTATGTCATTAATGGACAAGTACAAAACATTGAATGCATATATAGCGTAGGATGAAATTTGTGATCTTAACATCGAATGGCTTGATAACCAAACGAACAAACTCAAATGTGATGGTGAAATAAAGTAAAGCAGAATGCTTGAAAGAATCTCTAAAGTTTCTTGATAAGAATAGTAAGACCGAAAACTTGATGTTTCTAGAAAAAAGAATGGGTATGAATGAAGAGCTAGTATACATCATTAAGATACGCAATACCCATCATTCAAGAATATGTTTCGTTTTTGACTTTATAAGATTCAAACTTCGTACGTCTAGACGTAAACTTGACATCGATTCTCTCCTCTTTTTCCAATATGTTCGAAGTTTTCTTTTTTTCATTTTATTTATCTCACAGTTAAAACTTAAACGTAGCTATAATCTTTTCACATGACAAAAATAGTTTTTGATCATTTTAGGCCCAGAGATTACTCGTTAGATACCAAAAAGTCAATTGCCAATCGTTTTGGACATAAAATATATATATATATATATATATATATATATATATATATATATATATATATATATATATATATATATATATATATATATGTGGATTAGGTTGCATCATTGCATGTATATATATATGGTGGAATTTTAACTTAAAAGTAATAATAAACAAGAGATACATTTATTTATTATGATAAGAGCTTTAAAATTGTACATGTAGATGCTTTAGGTTCTTTGCCGAACGAATAAGCAGTATAAAAAGTTATCGTCAGCGTTGCTTCCTGCCTATCTGTATGCCCTCCTTTACTCTTTCACGAATATTGTACTCCTTTTACATAAATATATTAACCGTATTCAAGACTTGTAATAAAATCTTAGTCGTTTAACACATTTTTACTTTTCGGATCGAGCTCTCTGAGTAATGGTTTTCAAAATACCTTTCATCTTTTTAAAGAAATAACACTCGACTAATTAAAAAGATATTAAGTACAAATGATGAAATATATATAGCAGGGGAAGTTACATAATATGTCATCATATTATTCGTAATTTCGATTGCATGAGCCTCTCAGATACAAAAACTATATCTCGATTACGAGGCATGACAAACTGTATCTAAACGTACAATTCACCACATCATATTGCTACTACTTATAACGCCAAAAGCAAACAACCAAGTAAAGAAAGATTGAACATAATTATACTAAATATAGTAAGTATATGTATCACATGATTGAACAAGCATTAGGGTTATCGTCACTAAAGAGATATGTCATTCGCTCATCCGTAGAATTTGGGGCTGAGACAGCCTGAACAACATTCTTGACAAAACCAGCGGGAGCTCGTTTGTCGTAGGCTTGATTAACGTAAGGATAACTGACCAAGTTGTAAGGTATGTAGGGCCAGAATTCGGCTCTTTTTCCTGTGCTCTTTACTCTCTTTAACACCTTGTTTGGCTCCACATATCCGCTAACTGTTACTCGGCTTTGCTTTCTGTTAACATCCACAGTCTTGACACCTTATAAAATATTAAATCAAAGCACTTAGAAAAGCAGATCTACAGAAAGATAGAGAGACAGAGTGGATGAATGTATACCTTTCATGTTCTTAACAGCATTCTTCACTCTTCTTTCACATCCATCACAGTCCATTTTGACTTTGATTTCAACTGTCTGGTAAGGAAACCACAATCCATATTTTGCTTGTCAGATTGAAATTTAAGAGAGAGAGAGAGAGAGAGAGAGAGAGAGAGAGAGAGAGAGAGAGAGAGAGAGAGAGAGAGAGAGAGAGAGAGAGAGAGAAGGGTGTGTGCCTGCATAGGTTTTCTTCTGCCTCTGATGCTGGTGCTTCTGACTGTGCAAAAGTTGGAGAGGTAATCAAGTGCTCCCATTTTTTTCGTTAATCGCTTCCAGAAAGAAGATTTTCACAACCACACGAGAGAGAGAGAGAGAGAGAGAGAGAGAGAGAGAGAGAGAGAGAGAGAGAGAGAGAGAGAGAGAGAGAGAGAGAGAGAGAGAGAGAGAGATTTGTGGGTCTATATTTTTATGTGCTTAGGGCTTGGTAGTTGGTATTTATACAAAAGCTAATTAAGCATTGCTTGAAGTTGGACCAGAAATGTAATTATATATGATCCTATCATAAAGGTATATGTAGTATGCCTATCTTATTTATTTATCTTAAGCATACAAGATTAAGAATATACATGTACAATTCCAAATGACACTAGCATATTATTTTCGCCAATCTCATTTCACACGTTATAAACAATTATGATAACCGAAGACCAAGCCATATAGATGTGGAATAATAAGCAAACTGATCGTGGAATAATGAGCAAACCCATTCGGTTAGATAACGGCTTGAAATAATTAGAACAGACGGAAAATATCTTACAAATAACGCTGATATAACCAAAAAAAAAAAAAAATCATCACACTTTGAAGTTAAGTGTTAACTTTCTTCTTTTTCCAATTTCCCACCAATATAATTTTACATATAATATGGAACAACTTTTTTTATTACTTCTACATGTTTATAAAAGTGACGTTTGTTTATTGTAATTTATTTATTACTTTAAATTATTCTTATGTGTATGAACATATAAAAAAAACATTAATTTATGTATTTTCCTAAATTATGAACAAATCATATCTGGCGTAAGAAAATCATCTTTTTGAAATTTTGTGACATAAACTAAAATCAAATATTAGAGAGCGGTGTATGCTTATACATGAGAGGCCTATATATGATTACATGTATGTATGAATTCGTGGGGTTCATATGTCACACCTCATAAGATTTAGAGCTATGACATAAAATTTGGTCATATCAACGCTATAAGGATGAGTTTTATTTGATTTAAACATATCTGAATAAAAAAACAAAGAGAATGAGAGAAGCAAATCATGAAATATTGCCCCACAAGCAGCTAGCAGTGGAAAACCTTATGTCCAAGTTAGAATTGGCATAAATTTAATGATTATTCGAAACTGCTTTATGTGGGTTTCTTTACTTGTTTAATCACAACAAATGTGGTAAAGTCTTTTTCTGTTTGCTATCATTTTCACGCAGTAGAAGTGGCCTTTTCATTTTTTACAATAGTTGATACGTAATAATCATTGAATGTAATCACTTTTAATCTCCTATAATAAATAAAGATAATTTTAGCAAATTTTAATCTCTAATAAGTTTTAATATTTATTATTTTATGATAAATTTTAAATAAATAATATTCACATGTTACTTTATAGTTCTTTTTAATTTTTAAAATTAAAAAGCCACATAATATTTATAGTTATATATGTAAAGTATTATATACATGTACTAAATATTATACTAAATTCCAATTAATATGTTTCTTTATTCTTTATTTTAAAATTTTATTTTAAAAAATACTTTTATTTACATTTTAATATATTTTTTTTAATTAACACGTATGATACACTGGTTTACACCTAATTAATAAATATAACATAATAACCGATTTTAGATAGAGAATCAGAAGGATCTCCTATTTCAAAACATATATATTCAAACTATCTATTTTGAAAACTAGGTCTAAAATATAATAAATCATAGGATTTTAAGCTCGTTTTTATAACCGGTCTTATTTATTTATAGCTGATTTTTTTTAAACAGTCAACCATATATATTGAAAATAAAAACTAGCGAAGAGTTAGAAAAACAATTACAAAAAATTTAGAGGATTTTGAGTACATTTTAACCAACTAAATGAACATCTATAATTCTTATCTGCAAACAACAAAAACGAATACTCTTTAATAGAGTCAACCACTTCACTCATCTTTAACTTGCCCCGTTTGATCACCGTACTCCATTTCTAAACCTCCAAATGTACCATATTATGGTACAAAGACTCGCATTAGCCACTATTTCTTCATTGACGACATCTTACTATTGTCATTTTAAAGAAACAATCCTAAAACTCAATTAAGTTCCAACCAATCAATATCAAGCTTAGAGATTATTGCATTTCATGTTCTAGCCGCTACTTCACACTGTATTTATTTATGAACTATTTATACTTTTATAATACTTATATTTTTTTAATATATATCATTTACTTACTTCTTACAAAAAATATTGATATTCATTTTAATTTTTATGTGTGGTCTTCATTAGATTATCATGAAATTTTAATATTATATGTGTTGATGATTATATTTATATAGCATTTGATAGAGATTAAACTTTGTTGATGTTGCTAGAAACATGAATTATTATAACATCGAGTTCATTTTTTAAATGTGGATTATGATCAGGTTGTTTTAGGTAATGAAATTTCAATGGATAGTTTTAACCAATTAATATCATAAATAGGATACCCAAGGGTATAACTCATAGGTATCTAATTGGGTATCCGAATAAACTGGACCTGGTTTGAGATATATTTTCATAATCAAGTATGGGATCAGAATCACTAATACTCATCTAGTTATCACCCCTAGCTATTGTACCACATAACACAAACTACTTAAACCCCATCTACATTAACGGAAATATAAGCACTCAATAGGACCAACTAATTCAAATTTTCCAATTAACCGAACGAATGATTGCATAATCACCTTAACAATGGCTTTCTTATTACTAAACATAATATGTTAGCTAAGGAAACCTAAAAGATACAAATTTGAATCCATCCATAGATAAGAAACCCTAAGACATCTAAAGATTACAATCTAAATATTGTGAAAAAAAGGAATAAGCAAAAATAGATATTAAAGATAATCATCTTCCATATAGTACATCGAATAACATAAGAGGTTCACAATACCATAACACCTGGAAATACAAAATTTTGTATATACACACCTACATATGTGCATTTGCATCGTGCACACCAACATTTGTATGTGAATATGCATCGTGTACATATGCACGAGGGATGAGCATTTGGATCCGACCGTGGCTCATACCTAAACACGGATCGATTTATGTTATCATTGGATATCGATTGATGTAATTACACTCACCTAGTTCATCTTCCTTACCAGTTCGGTCCATCGATTTCTGATTTTGGACCAAATTTATGTTAATTTGTGAATTTTTTTTAAAATTACATAAATCGTTCGTTTGATGGCGTGTGATCTTTCCTAGCATGTAGTTTAGAGTTTATTCTTCATTTTAGGAATATAATTTCACCATTTTTTATTCCATCTTCACTGAGTTATATTCCATTGGAGTTAAGGATATCAAAGCTGAAAGTTTTTCGGTTTTTCAGATATTTTGTGTAGTTTGTGAAATTTTTGAAATTTACGTAACTCATTTGTTTGATGATGAGTTGACAAGAAATCTTTTTTATCATGTAGTTTAAAGTCTTTATTTCATTTTAAGCTAATTTCATGATTTTTGATTCCATATTGAATGAGTTATAATTATCCAAAATTAGCATATCAAAGCTGAATGTTTTTCAGTGTTTCTCTGTAATCTATAAATTTTAAAAAATTTACATAAATCATTTGTTTGAAGTCAGATTGATATGAGATCAAGTATAACATAGAGTTTAGAGTTTCTACTTCATTATAGGCTGTAATTTTATCATTTCTAATTCAATATTTAATGAATTTCAGTTCATCAAAACCGGGATCAAAGCAAAACGTTTTTAATCTTTTATGTTTTCTCTAGTAACAGAACATTCTGACTTTGGTGTGATAACAGATATAGAAGTTTTCCTTGAAAAGGATATCGGTAGATTACCGAAATGCATATTTTTTTCAATCCTCGTGATATTATTTCTCCTTAAAATATTAACTTAGCTTAAAAAATTAACTTTCGCTATTACTTCAACGACTTGTACTATACACAAAAAATGTTACACCGGTCCAACTAGTCCAAGAACCGAAAAACCAAAATAGATACCAACGTTAGTATGCTTCAATTAGCCCGATCCATGGTTCTTAGAAACCTTCCAAACCGTTCTAATTCAAATGTTCATCCTATTATGATTTTTGTGTTTTTATGTTTTTTTTCATCTGAATCAACTAACCAATCTATATAAATGAAATGTGGTGTGAACTTTTATTTAAATAAATTATAAGATTCATCATTTTTCAAGTGTCAAATTGTACGTTTAATTTGTATTTTAAAAAATAAACTTCAATTGTCCCTATAATGTTTTCTTTTCACTCAGACTATGCCTGATGAAAATAAAATAACTACATTGCCCTTTCTAATTTATTTAAATTTTAATTAGCATTTTTATTTCAATTTTTTTTAAAAAAAAATAATATTAAAGGAATGGTCAACCACCTAGACCATACCCGATCCAAACAATAATACTGTGATTTTTCACCAAAAAAAATAATCATTATTTTAACGTTCTTTTAAATGAAAATTGAAATGGAAGTCTTTTAAGTAAACATTTCGAAAACAACCACCAATGTTACTTTTATTACAAAACACCACAAAATAAAAGCCTTCAAGTCCAAGAGCATGACAAGTCCAAGAGCACCATGACAACTCCAAGATCTATCAACTAAGTAAAAATAACAAATTACCAAATAAGAATTTGGTAACGTTGCATTTTCTAGAATAAAAATTTTATTTTAAAAATAGAATAAGCACTCATTTTTATAAAGTTACATTCAAGTTAAACCAATTGTTCATAAACCATAATTCCAAAATCAGAGTTATAAGGAAGACAATGTGGAATCTCTCATCATAAAACCGTTAATATGTGTGTACATTCCTGCCTTCGCAAACCGATAAGCACCTGAAGAAAACATTTAACATAAAATTGTAAGCACAAACCTTAGCGAGTTCCCTAAATATCACGTACAACACAACATAATAATCGACTATGAGTTATCATCAAGCCTGGGACTATCAGCAATCTTAAATATCACATACAGTACAACAATATAAACA